AACCAAATAAATAAATAAATACAAATAGTTATAAGCCAACAACAACAATAGCAACAGCAACAGCGAGAGAAAGAGCAACAAGAACGATTCCAATAAACTTTGAAGCAAATATATGAAAATGTGAATGTGATTTCGAAAACGAAAACGAAAACGAAGCGAATATTATTGTAAGCACATAAAAGTTTTCCATTTGATTTCGAAAAAAAGGAAGTGAGCGATGCATAACGAGGGCAGCAGCTCGGCTGCGGAGGACAGAGGCAAAACGAAACTTAATCAAAACAAATTTCCATCTAAACTAGCAATGTGAGCCCACAAACCACTAAACCGAAGCAATTTAACCAGGCAAATGCAAGCAAAATACCTAAACGACACGAAACCGCTTCCGTTGCTTCGCCCCACCACACGCCCGACCGCTCCACACACGCGGTGGCTGCTAGGCTCCGCAAAACCTTGCATGTTGTTGCCCTCCATTTAACCGCAAAATGATTTGAGTATTTTACAAGTTTGTCCAAACAAAGCAGGGAGGGCCTGAGCTGCAAGCAGTTCCCTTGTGGTACTGGCAAGGGTTGAGCGGCGCCGCATCTTGGTATTTGACACAATTTGAATTCGTGTCAATTTGACAAAGTGACACATAGGGGCCGAACGCCATAAAGCGCCATCTATAACTGCTGATAAACCAATTGTGCACGTGATGAAATTTCAAATGAAATTTCAATTCACGACGAAAAATGCTCGCAGTCACAATTTGCAGCGCGGCAAACCCCTTTTACGACCGACTAGCGCCAAGCGCCCCTCCCACTTGCCACAAACCCCAAACGCAGTTATATCATTGCAATTCCATTCTACGATTCTGTCTTATAGCCACAGTAATTTAGCCTTTGCTTTGACTTCGTCTTTTGTGCCAGCGAGGAGAAGGGTCCTGGGGCTCACAAGAAGAGGGGCGCAAAGTGGCTGAAAATTCACCAACTTACGTGGCGTATACATATGTTCATATATTGCGACCCCACCGTGTTTGGCTGTGACTGTTTGCCACTTTGTGTGGTATGAACTGAGCGCGTGTGGGGTCGCAATTTTTGGCGAGCAAAGTGAGACGACAATTTTATGGAAGCGAGTGTTGTGTTGGTGTGGTGACAATTTTTATTAACGTCCTTTGGTTGTTGTTGGTGTAATGTTTAGTCAATAAAAATGATTTGTCAAATCACGAAATTTGATAGTCTCTGCGCGGGGTGGCTGGCGGCGGTCCTAGGGCCTTTTCGATTAATATAAAAACTAAAACGAAAATAAATAATTTCTATATACAAATGTATGCATGCACATAAAATTGTATCAAAAAAGTCCTAAGTCGTCTGTTTTAAAATATATTATAAGTAAATTTAATTCAAAATGACTTCTTTTGTAAGAACAATGCATATATTCTATAAAATTTTTCGTGGTCATTTTTTTAATAAATAATTTTGCGACGAAATAGTTATGATTCCCAGCATATCTTTTTCTCCCTCTTTGCTTTTCCTCTTGCCGGCAATAGGATTACATATATACATCTCAAAAAAGTTGCCATTGGAAACTTATCATATTTATTAAATAAAAAAGTGAAGTCTGTTACTTGAGAAACAAAAAACTATTGAAAAGATTAAGACCTTTTCAAGAACTCTGAAACGAGTTATATCGGGTGCTGTTAGGATAGTTTAAGCAACTCTGTGGCCAATCTAAAAGGTTAGAGCACGAAGTATTGACAGTTACATAATGAATCCAGTAAATTTTTAATCTGCTTGCATGGCCTAATAGTCAGAGATATGCACCACTTTGTGTTGGGTTTGCTTCGACTAACCTCAAAATAATAGCGAAAGCATGGCAGAGTAGTGTTTGATGTTGATGATAAAATATTCGACGAGGAGTCGTTCAGCGTTGTATAAGACTACTTCGCATGGCAATGGTGTTGCAGTGGTGTAGGCTTTGGTTAAGGGGTATTTCAGTTTAGTAATTTGAAAAAATTGATTTCTTTCATAATTCCTTGGTTTAGTAGCAGTTTTAGTGTCGTGGTAACTGGGGCGGTCACGTTAACATAAAATTTTAAACGACTTTTCTCGAAACTGCTTCTGTTTCTACATAACTGATTCTCTTGAAATTTGATAAAAAAAAAATCCTTATCCTACATCTCTCTATCGTGCCTGCCTAAGATTTTAGAAAATGTTAATTTTGAGTATTCAAAATAAGATATTAATATTATTTTTGAAGTCTAAGCCTTTTTCTAATTTTTTTCTGTGGCAAAGACCAATCCAATAGTGACATCTTTGCTAATGAAGAGTTTTTTTTAATATGTTTGTAGTAGATTAGTATGAGAGTTGGAATCTTGTCAACTAGGTACCACCGTTTTTTGATTATTTGATCTTTGTTTATTTCTTCTTAGTTTGAACAATGCCTATTCATCATATCATTTCCTGTTGAAGGAGGCTAAGCCTTAAAATTCATTTAAATTCAGGATATTTACTGCTTTAACCGCACATAGTTATTAGTCAGGTACTGAGTTTTTGTTTTTTTGTATTTGTTTTAATCCGCAAAAGGTGTACTTTGGCAAGAATCTCTTACTTACTTTGGTAACTCCAATAAATGTTAAGGTGAAATGCTGATTTCTAACATTCTAAAAGAAAATTCCTCGACTTGTGCTATTTTCTTCGTGAAGTTGAAAAACTAAATCCATTCATCTAGGTTACCATATCGTCGAAAAGCATTTACTCAAACATATTTTTGGATTTCCGTACCGTTTAACCACTTTAAGTATATTTTTCCTTATATAATTTGTTGTCAAACTTCATCGTGCCAAAGCTGCTGGTTAAGAAAGACCATAATTTAATCAAAATCAAAATATTTCCAATAATAAACTTTCCTAAGGCTGCCATTCAACGTGAGGACTCGTCTTGGGCTTATGAACTCCTTGTATGGTTGCATTTATTGGGCTGCAATGAGTTTCCACCCAAGCTCCGTTCTCCGCATTCTCTTTCGCATACGAACACACACACACTTGCAAACATACATATATTTAATATTATTTGTTTCCCCCAAAAAATGAGCGACACTGTCTCTTATACACATCTAGATGTGTATAAGAGACAGGTTTCCACCCAAGCTCCGTTCTCCGCATTCTCTTTCGCATACGAACACACACACACTTGCAAACATACATATATTTAATATTATTTGTTTCCCCCAAAAAATGAGCGACATAAATATCTGGCAAATGCCTTTCGTGCGTGTTTTTTATGTTGCACTCTATACCATGGAATTTATGAGGCTCTACCACAATTTACCACCAACGAAGGCGACACCGTAGAAGTTACCACAATCGCCGGCAAGCGCAAACAAGTTCATCGCGCCGACGACAAGGATTCGGTATTGCTCATTGCCCATATTTGTCTTGCTTAAATGTTGGCGCTCTTATGAGTTACGGGGTTACGGAGTTATTTGCACACCGAGGTGAGGTTATAACTTAACTCCAAATTTGTGGGTCTCCCCGCGACTCTGGCTGCGAGCGCTCCTTGAGCAATCGGTTGGCTGTCTTAAGCGATTGAGACATAAATTTTAAATAAGAATTGCATATTTTTACAGCTATTCGTTGTTCCTTGTGTTATTTGATGCGGCTGTTTGTATATATTGTGGCTTTTTGCATTTCGGGGAAGACAGTAGTTATTGCTCAGCCAGCACTTTATTTACATTTAACGGGACTTGTCTTTTTAACCACAAACTTTTTACAAAGCTTTTAAGTTCCATAAATCACTGTCAAAAAACTTAATTGGATAAGCATGGCATATATATATTTAGATGTATATTTCTATATACACGTTCTTCATGTAGATTCGTTATTTGTATTTGCTTAAAATGAATTACAAACGGAAATTAACCAATTTCCTACGAAGTAAAACTGCACACGAAATATTTGACAGAGGTTTACACTAAACTGCTTGGGGATGTATATGAATCTTCGAGGTAATCTACATACTCGGAAATTGAAATAATCGGTAACAGTAATGCATTTAACATATTTAAGGGATTAAATGGGCTTATGGGTTTCAAAAAAGCGATTTTTTTATTGTCTTACTGAACTCTACAACACCTCTAGAATATTGTTCTAAATTTTCAAGTTGATCTGAGTAATAGTTTCAGAGATACAGCTTTGAGAACTTAGCCGCCTTTAAACGCTCGAAACTATGTTTATAAAGCCGGTTGGCAAGATTTCTCGAGAACTACCCAACCGACCTTCAAGAAATTGGACACAGGTCTCTGAGATACAATTTTTAAACACTTGGCTGACGGGTGTTGTTGTTTTTTTTTTTTTTTTTTTTTTTTTTTTGATTACAACTATTTGCAAACAATTTCGCGAAATTTTCACTGAAATTTTTTAAAAATGTCTGCCAAAAATCCAGTTTTCAGGTTTTTTTTTTGTCTTTCGCCCAGATTCAAAGTAAATGTTTTAACTAAAATGCGTATTTTTTCACTTTCGATGATCTTATAAAGAGTTATCCTACCAACGCGGATGCATCTTTTTTCCTAGGGGCCACCGGAAATGAAATGGCAATGGCTGAGTTTAAAATATTTTTTTCCAAAACTTTCAGAATTTCATTGGTTAATAGTGTATGTTGGTAGCAACAAAAAATTCTAACAAAATGTATAATTTTTTATATGAGACAAAAATTGTTGAAAAAAGACCGTTTTGTACCATTGGTAACCCTCTAATGCACAGTCGAGATCAAGATATATACTTGTAATACTGAATTTGGTTATGGAGAACCAGCTTGTTTAAAGAACCACTTTTTTGGTTTATTTGCATTGGTCTAGAAATTCGTATTAAATGGTGGTATGATGAAGTTAGATCGGAAATGAAAATTACAGAAGATTATTACCGTTTTAAATTATTGGTTTTAAATACCTAACCTTCAAAAAAAACTATAAAACTGTATATAAAGAAAATGGTAAGTTTTGACTACTGAAATCAAGTTGTAGCTCACCTGCACTCTGACTTCGGGCAAATTGACTTTCATAGCTAATTCCTCGCGTGAGTACACATCCGGATAGTGTGACTTCTCAAAAGCTCGTTCCAGTTCGTGGAGTTGATATGTTGTGAATGTTGTGCGATTGCGACGGTGTTTCTTCTTGGAACAATTGTCATCTTGAGCTGGAGAATTGAATAAAAATAATTTAGTTTAATTAAGTTTTCAAAGCATGGTAAGTTAGAAAAAAATGTTTAGAGCCACGATAGCAGTTGCTCACTGAAATCTCTTCGAAGACCATGGACCTTACATTAGGAAGCTATTTTACTAAATTATGGTACATGAATGCATACGATCAATTAAGATTATCTTAATTACTGAACGATTCATGACTAGGAAAGGCAGAGCTTGAACAGCCAAATACTTTTGCGAACATACTTTACGAACTTAATAATAATTAAGACAGACAAATAATAACTATAGAACTGTTACTACCTTCATCGTCGCTGCCGGAAGTTATCTTTTCGCCTTGCTCGCTGGAGTTAGTCTGATTCAAGTCTTCGCTGGATGCACAGCTACCATTCACCACGCTGTCGGCGTCATTCAGCCGATCCGGACCATCGCCGCCGGACCCGCTACCGCCAATCAAACGATAATCGTCCATGTGACGCTGCTGAAACTGTTGCTGTTGTAGTTGTTGCTGCTGCTGTTGTTGTTGTTGGTGTTGCTGTTCCATTGCATTGCAATTGCCATTTAATGACTGCTGCTGCACCTCTTCGAAAGTGCGCGCACGTATGCCCTCGAAACTCTTCATTGCATAATTTTCTAAAGCATTTCCGTTGGCTAATTTCGACTCATTCGCCTCGCCGCCATCCAAGTCATCACAGTAAGAAACGGAGGATTTGCGTTTTAATCCCCCAAATTGCAGTGAAGCAGCCGACGCACCGACATTGTTATAATTCGACGAGGGCGAAGCTGATAGAGCAGCGGGCGACTGCGGCGATGTAACATCAATAGTGCCCGACATGTCGCCCTGTCCGTCCTTCATGTCGTCCTCATCGCCTGCGTCGATCTCACCACTGGCCGAGAGCGAAGACATTGAACGCTCATCGTAATCGAGCAGATTGTGATGATTGCTGGTGAGTGCGTTGCCGCCGACTGTCACAGCGCCAGCGCTGCCACCGCAAAGGGCACTGGAGCCATTGGCGAGACTGAAATACGAAGCGGCGGCGGTGCTCGACTGATTAGCCAATGTCGGTTCCGACGATGATGATTTGGCGAATTTTTCGAATTTTTGCTCCTGTTGCGCGTGTGCCTGCGCTTGTGCTTGGGCATGTGCTGCCAAAGCGGCCAAATGCTGTTGATGACTGTAATGTGATGGCGGCGGCGGCGGAGGCGGTGGGCCGGCGTTCGGTGAGTTATGATGCGGGTGCGAGGGGTGATGATGGTGATGCAGTGCCGCTTGTAAGTGGCTCGCTTCGACCATTTGATGCATCGAATTGAGATAATCACCGCTGCTCATGGACGGACTGGTGCGTGTGCTGCCCGAGTCGGTGCTGCCGGCCTCGTGTGGTGGATAGTTTAAATGACTGTTGGCGCCACCAGCGGCGTTGTTAATGTTTTGATGCGGAAAGCTCATCATTGCATTGTGATAGTTGAGCGGTTGGTGGTGCGGGTGATGTGGGCCGGTGTGCAGTTGTGGCGGTGGCGGTGTGCCTAAATGCAAGGCGGCAGCATGTTGATGGTGGTGCGCGGGAGGCGACTGCATGTTGGGGAATGTGCCATGTTTATTGTGTGTGGACTGTTGCAGCATTGAGGCCATGTGATTGTCCATAGTGCGCAGATGCGCCAGCGACATGTTGCAGCGTAAATCGGTGGCGTCATCATTAGCTGTGGATGAGAGGTTATAAGTGCATGAGTAATTGAGTGGACTTATGTTTTTTTTTGTTTTTGGTAAATTACGTAAAAGGTACAGATTTTCTGTGAAAGGACTTTTGCGAAAATAGTTGGTTCTTGTGTTGGTCAATTTGACGCTCTTCAGGAGGCTTAGTGTATGTACTATACAAGAGTCTAGTTGGGCAGTCCAAGGTACAATAGATCCCTTTGCAATAACAACTTTCAATAAAACTTCTCAGTTTGATCTCTAAGTGGTTCTGACACCCTATTTTATGGTCAAGATGCAACGGGTACCAGCAGAAAGTAATATTGGACTCTGGACAATAGCGAATTTTGTGGTCTGGATAATTAAACGGCTAACACGGTTAAAGCTGAGTCACAGTGGAGTTAATTTCTTGCTCAACAAGAAGGCCAACGTGGCATGAATGGGATATGGACAGCACAAGCAACTAATACAATTCTGGAGGAATCACATATTCATCTTCTTTATTGAGGTAGACACTGCTTACACGGTTATACCCGAGATTACAACAGCGTGTTAGTCAGTCTTCCTTTTCGCTGTTTGGCGTCAATCGGCCTCCCAGGATAGCCAGGTCCTTCTCCACATGGTCTTTCCAACGGATTGGAGGTCTTAATCTTCCTCTGCTTCCCCTGGCGAGTACTGCGTCGAAAACTTTCAGAGCTGGAGTGTTTTCATCCAATCGAACAACATGACCTAGCCAGCATAGATGCTATCTCTAAATGCTGAATTATGTCAATGCAGTCGCATAACTCGTACAGCTCATCGTTCCATCAAATGGGATATTCGCCATTGCCAATGCGCGAAGAACCATATATCTTTCGCAGAACTTTCCTCCCGAAAGCTTGTAACGCCGACTCAGCAAATGTTTTCATCGTCCAAGCCTCTGCACCATATACCAAGACGGGAGTGATGAGGGACTTATATAGTTTGGTCTTTGTTCGTCGAAAGCGGTTTTAAAGGACTAACATAGGAGCACTAATAAGAGTACTAAAGGGTTGCTGTCTATTTGGCAGGCAACGAAACACCATAACAGTAGGTAGAAGAAGAAGATACTATAAAACACATTTTATGCGAGTACTTTCTGCCTCGCTCAGCTTGACGGAAACTTGATTTTACAGAAAAATAGTGTACTCTCTTGTTAAGACAATGCTTACCTTAAAATATACATTCACACATTTTACTAATAGCGTGAATAACCTTTACTTATATTATTAATTTAAGTCTCTCATAATATCGGCCATTATTCAAAGCGCATTAGTGATCCAGGTTAACCACTTGCATAACTTCGATTTTCAATTTGTCCGAGCAGTCAGCGTAAAACTGGTAATTACATTTTAATTGGACATTTCCCACAGATATCCCATTTCAAGATCCATATTGGCTGCCTACCTGCTATACTTTCCACCGACTATCTACCCTCTCATGTAGGTAACTTTTGACCACCCCACTAATCATATGTTGCGCAACAACTACATATAAGTGCTTACATATGAATGTACTTAGTATTTAAGTAAACATGTTACGGAATCAGCGACTGAGCAACCGAGCAAACCAGTCGTTGAAAAAGTCATATATCAGTATTGCCACCCAGGCGATTAACCAGTCGTTCAGCAGACGGTTGAAAGGAGGTGTACTCGCAAGTTTATAAAGCCTCACACATATTCAAGCCGGAGCATGGCAGTAAACGGCATTCAATTAGTCGCGTCATATTTACAATGTGCCGCAATAAAAATTCTTAAATGCCGTTTGTTTCAGCCACACGGCATTATTTTAAATGCTCACACACAAGCACCGCGTCCGCTAACCAGAAATACCAAAGAGTCTCACATTCATAACCACATGTCGGAGAGTGGGTTGAAGCACGGCTCGCTCGAACAATCGCTCCGTCGGTATTTGCCAAGGAAAAATATCCTGTGACATGCGAGGAAGTCATTAGCTGCTGCAGCGCGGCCAAAGGGCTTCCTAGTTAGTCAACGAGGCGAGAGAGGGCAGTGCAGAGCGGCGCTCACGTGAGTGTGGGTGCGTGGCGTTAATGATATGTGGAGGGAAGGTAGTGCGGTTGCCACCACTACGCCCATTGAGCGTTTGCAAGTCGGCGAAATATTGTAACTTCAACGATTTGAAAATGGATTTATTTTTCCGTGGAACTACTTATTGTATTAAAATGCGCCGAGGCCAACGATATGTGTAACGAGCGGATTGAGCAAAAAGAGTGTCCTGTGTGTGTGAGACTCAGAGTGTGCTGTGCCCATTTGGTTAGCGTTCGGTGAGTCCAACTAGTGCTTTGAAAAATGTATAATTACGTTGTGTTGAGTAATTGCATTTTGATGTGTTTAAATGCAATTTTCGGTGCGGTTTTGCTTCGGCGCGGAGTTGCGGCGATTATAGATTGCTGCTTCCGATCACAAACCCGCACACGAACATTAGTGGTTGGTATGCGGGCTTGTAACGCCGTAATTTGAGTTGAAATGTAAATTAATTCTATGATTGATTTCCACACTCTCTCCAATGTGACTTTCTTTTCTCTATAATCAGTGAAGCGCTCACTCACACACACACATGAACGACTTGCTCATTTATGTTGAAAACCTTTCATTTCGACTTGTTATTTAAGTTAATTGCCAGCATGAAATGTAATTAATCGCCTCAAGCATTCGCCAATATCGCGAAAGTCGGCCGCGTTGATGGTCGTTTAATTGAGTTTACGAAAATTTCATAGACATTTGTTTTCCCATCGTAAAAATTATTGAGAGAGTTCTTTTCGAGCTGCCGAAAATGAAGTCGGTAAATTTTTTTTTCAAAGGTTTTATTGATCTATTTGATATTTACGAATACAAAGAGGGCTACCTGAAAATATCCCGAACTTGTTTTAGGGAGTCTTATTTAACAAGTTATCTCTGCTAAGTATGATAACATCAAAGAAGTGGAGAGGAGGCCCAGTTTGAAGTCCAAAATACCGCCTGATGAAACTAATTCAAACTGGTCAGTTTAAGTTGCGCACAAACCAAATCGATAAAACCTGGTCGACTCAACGCGTTTAGGTTATGAGAAGTCTCAGTGTTTAACTAATGACAAAGGATGTGTATCTTTTGCAAAAGCGCTGTCAAGTAGAGGTCGTAAATGAGATGATTGACAAACATAATTGCTGGGTCGAGGCGTGGGTTTATGAATATTCCGTCGAAGCTATCCAACAATCTGGTGAATTGCTCTTCAAGAATGAGGCAAAACCGAAAAACTATGCAAAATTTGGTGAAAAATCAAAGCGATGCTCATTCTTTTCTTTGATAACGGTTATATTGGTCACCATGAACTCGTTTCACAAGTTCGAACGGTCAATAAGGAGACTACTTGGCCATTTCGAGACGATCTTGTGAAGAACGTAATGACGTAAACGACTGGTTTTGTCGCCATTATATTGGACCATACTAGCATGACAGTGACTGACTTTTCGTCTAGCTCGAAACAAGAACCATCATTTGGCCATAATTTCAACAGATTTGGGTCTCTGTGACTTATTTCTGTTTTCCAAACGTAAAAATCAGTCCGTTGAAGTCATCTATAGGTCCTGAAGTAAATTCAGCCGAGACTTAAAACATGTGCATGAAGATTGGATTAATCTTTGGCAGAATGGTAACTATTAGCTTCAAACAAATATATTTTGAAGGCCATAAAAAGGTAGTGTATTTAAATTCATGAAAATGTTTTTTTTTTTGCAGCCCGGATCCTATTTGATCATAGAAATATATCTAAATTATGATTTTCTTTGCTATCAGTAAAACCTTTCATTAAAGTCAACGTTTACCTCTCGCCAAACATATAACCGAAGGCAGATAAAAAATATATTAACATCAAATGTCCAAGTCATTCCTTCGCTGACCGACTCGTCTAATTGGCCGAACTCTGCCTTCCGCCCGCGACATGACAACCATGACATTTCGTAATACACGCTAATAGCATTTCAATTAAGTGCGCCGACCTCGGCATTTACTCAGAAACACTCCTTTTGAAAAGACAGTAACAAAAACAAAAACAAAGAACTATAAGAAATATGAGAAGAAAATACTTTAAACCAGACGCGACTCTGTCCTCATCTATAGCGAGAAATAAGATGTGTGTAGGCGATAGTTGCTGTTGCAGTTGCCCTAATTGCAGAGAGCTGTTGCCACATGTTGCAAGTAATCGTCTAATTGAAGTTGCAAAGCAGTTGTCCTTCCCGCCGCCGGCAGACAAATGCCGAATCATCATTTTGACGCGATTAACGTCAATTTGTAAGACGTTTTAACGATTGTTTTATGGCATTTGTTTGTGTACCCAAATAAATAGCAGGAATTAACGAAGCTAATGTTGGCGAGCGATTGGAGTGCACTATTTGTTGTGTTATGTGGATCAAGTGAAATGATCGCAGTAGATTGATTATATTGCTTCAATAGGAAAATGTAACATTAGAAGGGATTAGAGAGTTATATGGTGGATCATAATTAGCATGTTCGTTATTGTATTCCCACACAAACTAGGAGAGAATGATTGACAGTAATGAGGTGAACAGGAAAGACTTGCAGGAAAATAATGACTTGCTTGATTTAGTAATAGAAATCGATGTTTTGAGCCTCCTCCGCTTGGCTGAAGGATTTGTTAAAAAGTTATTTTTTTCGACAAATATTTGGTATTTTGCTTAAAGAGAGAGATAAAATACCGTTATTTTTTGACAAACATTTTGTATATGGCTTATAGAGTCTTTATTTAATACCGTTATTCCTATATATCCACATATTTTCACTTTTCTCCCATTTCTCATTCCTATTTTCCTACACGAACACACATATGCCTTGTTTTCTAATAATTGACGCTTTTAATTGCCAACCAAAACGAAAGCCTGCATTAATGTAAAGAACTCAGTGGTTCCAACACCAAAAATTGAGCTGTCGATTACTCCATTAATTTTGTAGCACGCTCACAATAAAATCTAACAAAT